GATGTCATGTGATAGGTAATCTGTTCTGATGATGTCATGTGGTAGGTAATCTGTTCTGATGATGTCATGTGGTAGGTAATATGTTCTGATGATGTCATGTGATAGGTAATCTGTTCTGATGATGTCATGCATATGTGGTAGGTAATCTGTTCTGATGATGTCATGTATAGGGCTTCTTTTTTCTTCAAGTTTCAAGCTTTACATTATGTATCAACAGCACGATACTCACATGTTTAAACCTAACCTCAATGATGTTAAACTACAATATGTCCTGCAAGCGGGGGATATAAATTCCATGAATTTGCTTGTTGATAGTGTCATGTGGTTGATAATCTGTTTCATGATGTCATTTGACAATTAATGGAAGAATTTGTTTTCCATATTTTCTAGGTGATGTTGATGGATCTGTGGAAGCCATATTGGATTGTCTAAGTACATACCACTCTCAACAGTGTCGACTGGATATTCTTCGGCATGATGTTGGGGAAGTGAACACCACTGATGTGGAAACAGCACAAGTATTTAATGGTCAGTGTTCTCATGTAGCTTGGTCAATTAACCTTGTTTAATGGTTATATTATCATTTGATGGTAAAATCAATGTAAAGGTCAGTAAATGATTCTTGAATGGTCAGTGGACTTGTATGTAATGGTCAATAGACTTGTATGTAATGGTCAGTAGACTTGTATGTAATGGTCAGTAGACATGTATGTTATGATCAGTAGACATGTATGTTATGGTCAGTAAACTTGTATGTAATGATCAGTAGACATGTATGTCATGGTCAGTAGACATGTATGTAATGATCAGTAGACATGTATGTTATGGTCAGTAGACATGTATGTAATGGTCAGAAGACATGTATGTTATGGTCAGTAGACATGTGTGTAATGGTCAGTAGACATGTATGTCATGGTCAGTAGACATGTATGTAATGAACAGTAGACATGTATGTAATGATCAGTAGTCATGTATGTTATGGTCAGTAGACATGTATGTAATTGTCAGTAGACATGTATATAATGGTCAGTAGACATTTATGTAATGATCAGTAGACATGTATGTCATGGTCTGTAGACATGTATGTAATGATCAGTAGCCATGGATGTTATGGTCAGTAGACATGTATGTAATGGTCAGAAGACATGTATGTTATGGTCAGTAGACATGTATGTAATGGCCAGTAGACATGTATGTAATGATCAGTAGCCATGGATGTTATGGTCAGTAGACATGTATGTAATGATCAGTAGACATGTATGTCATGGTCAGTAGACTTGTATGTAATGATCAGTAGACATGTATGTACTGATCAGTAGACATGTATGTAATGGTCAGTAGACAAGTTTGTAATGGTCAGTAGACACATGGTCAGTAGACATGTATGAAGTAGACATGTATAAAGTGGGCAGTAGACATGAATGTAATGGTCAAATAGACTTGTATGTAATGGTCAAATGGACTTGTATGTAATGGTCAAATAGACCTGTATGTATTGGTCAAATGGACTTGTATGTAATAGTCAAATAGACTTGTATGTAATGGTCTAATAGACTTGTATGTAATGGTCAAATAGACTTGTATGTAATAGTCAAATAGACTTGTATGTAATGGTCAAATATACTTGTATGTAATGGTCAAATAGACTTGTATGTAATGGTCAAATAGACTTGCATGTAATGGTCAAATGGACTTGTATGTAATGGTCAAATAGACTTGTGTGTAATGGTCAAATAGACTTGTGTGTCATGGTCAAATAGACTTGTATGTAATGGTCAAATAGACTTGTATGTAATGTAATATTGTTTAATACTTGGTCATAGTCATAGATGTGCATGAGTATATGAGCCCTCTCATCTCGATTTATAACTGGCTCACTGCCGCCTAGAGGGCAGAGGCTAGGGCCCATAGACTCTCACACATCTATGACCAAGTATTAAACAAAGCGTAGCTAAATTGAGTCATTTTAGTACATATATACCAACTAATTGTACATACGATAACAGCATAGCAGAATCAACATTCATTTGTGGACAACTGGTACACATTTTACACCTTTGTGTACATATGCTTCACTGGTCATTTGTCTGATGAAGTTGACAGAGTACATACCAAACTAGTCATCGAAACATCACATAAAACACTTATTGGTTGTGTTACAAGAATCTTTTCATAATCCATGATTACCAACCTGAAGAAAACGTCTAGAATCAACCAGGGTTGTTAACAAGGGTCAATGGAACAAATAAAGTTTTAATTTTGCCATTTTATTTCAGGTGATATATATGCATTCAATGTGAAGGTGCCTAGTGATATCAGCAAACTTGCCAAAGCCAAAGGAATTACAATCAGGGAACACAACGTCATATACAAGATGATTGATGACATAAAAGACACGATGGTCTCTAGGATTCCTCAGGAGGAAGTGGAAGATGTTATAGGTATGATGGGAGTATAATTAAACAATGGTCGCTAGGATTCCTCAGGAGGAAGTGTAAGATGTTATAGGTATGATGGGAGTATAATTAAACACAATGGTCTCTAGGATTCCTCAGGAGGAAGTGGAAGATGTTATATGTATGATGGGAGTATAATTAAACAATGGTCGCTAGGATTCCTCAGGAGGAAGTGTAAGATGTTATAGGTATGATGTGAGTATAATTAAACAATGGTCGCTAGTATTCCTCAGGAGGAAGTGTAAGATGTTATAGGTATGATGGGAGTATAATAAGACACAATGGTCTCTAGGATACCTCAGAAGGAAGGTGAAAATGTTATAGGTATGATGGGGAGTATAATAAGACACAATGGTCTCTAGGATTCCTCAAGAGGAAGTGGAAGATGTTTTGGTAAGATGGGGAGTATAATTAGACACAATGGTCTCTAGGATTCCTCAGGAGGAAGTGGAAGATGTTATAGGTATGATGGGAGTATAATAAGACACAATGGTCTGTAGGATTCCTCAGGAGGGGGGTGAAGATGTTATAGGTATGATGGGAGGATAATAAGACACAATGGTCTGTAGGATTCCTCAGGAGGGTGTGGAAGATGTTATAGGTATGATGGGGAGTTTAATAAGACACAATGGTCTCTAGGATTCCAGGAGGAAGGTGAAAATGTTATAGGTATGATGGGAGTATAATTAGACACAATGGCCTCTAGGATTCCTCAGGAGGGAGGTGAAGATGTTATAGGTAAGATGGGGAGTATAATTAGACAATGGTCGCTAGGATTCCTCAGGAGGAAGTGTAAGATGTTATAGGTATGATGGGAGTATAATTAGACACAATGGTCTCTAGGATTCCTCAGGAGGTTGTGGAAGATGTTATAGGTATGATGGGAGTATAATAAGACACAATTGTCTCTAGGATTCCTCAGGAGGAAGTGTAAGATGTTATAGGTATGATGGGAGTATAATAAGACACAATGTTCTCTAGGATTCCTCAGGAGGAAGTGGAATATGTTATAGGTAAGATGGGAGTACAATAAGACAATGTTCTCTAGAATTCCTCAGGAAGAAGGTGAAGATGTTACAGGTATGATTGGGGTATAATAATTCACAACTGTATCTAGGATCTGCACAGTGGATGGGGTTATATATTTGATAGGGAATATGGGCACATTGTATGTATTGACCAATTTAAGAATTTATAGTGTCGGTTGGGAATGTGGACACAAACTTTGTCGCAATAATAGCTCTCAAGAGCTAATGTTCCATGTTGATATGTATTCGACTCTAAATAAAGCTTCTTGTATCTTGTAAAGATTGATAGATAACAACTCTGTAAACATTCATCCCTAGGTAATACTTCATATTACGATCATGGTAAAATAATGATTGCATTTCATGTAGTAATTTGACTGTTCCAGGTGAAGCCAATGTGATACGACCCTACTCTTTTAATGATGGCAAGAGGCAGCTTCCAGTAGCAGGATGTATGTGTGTGAAAGGAAGTTTACTAATGTCCTCTATGTTTAAAGTCCAGCGGGATGGCGAGACACTTTTTAGAGGTAACTTAAACTAATAACAACACCCCTAGGATTTTAGTATTTTTAGGTCACCTGAGACAAAGTCTCAAGTGACCTATTGCGATCGCCTTTTGTCCGTCGTCGTCCGTCGTGCGTCCGTAAACAATTTACATTTTCGACTTCTTCTCCAAAACCCCTGAATCAATTTCAATGAAATTTTGCAGGGACCTTCCATGGACAAAGGTCAACAAAAATAGTTGCCGGTTTAGTCCTA